TTCACTAGATGGTGGTATAGCTTCAAGTGGTTTGGATTTGAAGTAGTTGGTAAAATGAGAGTGAATTGAGGTTAGAATTTCATTCTATTCAGTAAGTAGAGAGTTGTTTGTAAGTACTCTGTATATTTAGATATTAAAAAATTTTTTATAGAAGAGTTTAGAAGCTTCTAAAAATAATTTATTGCGATCTTTAATTTTTTTTAATTTTCTTGTAGATAGCCTGTTGTTGTTGATGATTAAGTACAATTTTAGTAAGGTGTTGTTTATTTTTAAGTTGAGCCAGAGTAGATATAAGTATTTGAATAGAGTTGTCTAGATAAGTAGTTAAATATTTTTATAAAAGTATATTAAAATTTGATGAGTTGTGATGATGTTTAAGAAATTATATTTTTTTATAGCGATAATATTGTTGAGGATGTTTTTGAGATAAATTTTCTAGAACTTCTTGGATTGTATTAATTTTTTTAAAAGAAATGTGTTTAAAAGATTAACTAGTAATTAATTGCTAATTAACAACTACCCAATTTTGTTAGTTTGTTATTGCCTTTTATAGTTTTATAGTTTGTAGTACATTTATATTTTTTGTCATTTTTGTATAGTATTTATTTGATTTTGACAAGATGATTATCAAAACAACTTACTTGTAATTATATAAAAGGAAGGATCTACTCTCTCCTTTTTTATATATTCTTTGATACTAGATACTACAGTTGGCCCTCTCAAAACTAGTATACATGGTGGATGGGTTAACTATTGGAAATGGCAGGTTATCATTATTACTTATGGAACAGGTGTCTAGTAGATTGATTTTTACCCAATTTTGGCAGGTTATCAGTTTTGACAGGATCGGTTCTAAAAGGGCCACTGTATGTAGATACTATATGTAGATACTACATATAAATACTAGATGTAGATACTACATATAGATTCTAGATACAGTATTAGATACAAAAATTTTGACCTTATTTATTATTTTGAATAGTTGGTTTAATTTGTAAATATAGTATTTCTCAATTTTTTACATCTTTTTGTTTTTTTTTTACACATTTTTTGCTAGGTAGATTAAGTGATCGTCAAAAGTCAAAATGTAAAAATTATAGCAAAAGAATTTGGTTTTAGAGTTATGTACAAGGTTTGTAATTATTTGATATGAGGCATAACCAATAATAGAATTTATTATCAATAAAAACAAATTCCCAATATTGCACAGTTTTTGTGTATATAAAAGTGTAATCTGATTGGTTGTTTTTAAATATATTTATATTAATAAATATTCTGTTTATTATGGCTTATATTTGACATAAACATTAAGCAGTATGACAGATTAATTTATTACCACTATTCAATTTTGTTTAGTTGATTTTGCCTTTTAATACATTGATATTTTGGTTGTTCTTGTATTTGAGTACTGCCAAGAGAAAATAACACCTCCATTTTTTAATCAATTACTGATTCAATAATTGATTAAAAAATGAAGGTGTCTTTTTCTCTTAGCAGCACTCATTTATCTATATGTAGAATTATCAAAACAACTTTCTCTTAATTATATAATTCTTAATTTTTGGGCTTCCTCTTTCTCCTTCTATAACTAATGGTAGCTAGTCTTAAGTTAGTTTATAAATAGTAAATTAAGAGGTAATTTGCTACACTTAGATGGTTATACAAAATATAATAGATAGTTCAAATTAATATCATCTTGATACAAATCTGTAACTAATCTTATCATGTATACAGCAAATTCAAAATAAAAAAAAATAATAATAATTCTTAATTAAATATGAGGTGTGACTGATAATAATAATTATTATACAGAATTTAATAGCATTAATTATTTGATACTAATAATTTAATTAAGTCAAAATGAATTCAGTAATCATGTTTTCTATTAATTTTGTTATTTTTATGTCTTATTATTTTGGCTAAGCTCTATTAAAGCTTTATATCTATATACTACAGAAGTATGTGCTGATGTATATAGATGCATTGGCTTATGTAAATTTAGTTTCTTTGCTGCTTGAGTATATTAAATGATATGCCAGCTATTATTACTGAATCATAAATTAAGCAAGGACCTTATATAATAATTTCAATGATTATTTAATATAAATACTATTACTATCAAACCAATTATACTTAATTTATTAATAACACAAATATTCAATAAATACTAAATTGCAATCTTCTCATTACCTATAGTATAAACAACCCAGGTCTGTTACATTTTACTAATTTTCAAATTTATATTTAGACCTGAGGTCTTTTATATAAGTGTTAGTATAATAATTGGAGTTATTTTATTTTTTATTTTTTCTTAGTATTTCTTATTTGTATATCTGGATCTCTTATATATTAACAAAATTTTATCCTATATTATAGACCCAAATTTAATTCATAAAGGATCTGATATATAGGATGATCTTTTATATAGCATATTATGATAACTGTCAGGCAGAATTTCGTCTGTTGCTAATAAATTCCATTTAATTTTACATTATTTATACAGCTTAAAAGACTTAATTTTTTTTTAAAAAACAAAACCAACTATAATAAAATAAAGAAAAGTTATATAGAAGGTTTCATTAGAGCTGTAGAACTTGATAATCAAAAATAAAATCTAATTTCGTCTGTTTGAAAAAATTAGCTTAGTAATAAGTTGATTTTATCAAGCTTTGAGAAGTTATTACTATACAAACTTTTTCAAACAGACAAGAATTAAATCTTATTTTTGGCTATGAAGCTCTATAGATCTAATGAAACCTTTTATATAGCTTTTTTTTTATTTTATTATGATTAGTTTTTGTATTTTTAAAAAAATTCTCTAAACTGTATAAATAATATAAAATTAAATTAGATTTATTAGCCAACCAGACAAACTTCTGCCTAACTTTAACTGCAGTAAACAAAGACTTTAATACTTAACTCAAATATTTCTATATTCTAATTTAAGTTTACCACTCTAATGCATTTGTTTCTAGTAAATAAATTTCTTAAACACATAAGTTTTTTTTCTACAATATAAAATTTATCCTTATAATAACTTGCACCAGTTCTGACTTTATATCTAAAACACACTTCATACCCTATATTTTAAATCATTGAATTCTATATTCAAGTATCTTAAAAAAATAAATATCGAATAAAACAATATACTATATAATTAATACATATGTTTATATATAATAAATCTTATTTAAATTTTTTTAAATGTATATAAATCTACTAATATATTATCATTAAACTATTATATACTGTTTTTTTTAAGAAATAATACTATAATAGCCTCAACTGAGTAGTGAAGCTGCCCATATTGCATTCACTAGTTAATTAATTAATTAATTAATTAGCTAATTGACTAATTAATTAATTAATTAAATTAATTAATTTGGGTTTTAAAATTTAAATTGATTAGTTGTCAACTTTACAACTAATTAATTAACTCAATTTTCAATTTATAATACTAATATAAACTACATTTTTCATTAAATTTATATAATATAAGTGCAGACAATAGAAACAGTCTATTTTTATATCTTTTTGAAAATGAGTTTTTATTAGATTCATATTAATTTTGATATAATTAATATTTTTTAATTATAAACAAAAGTCTATTTGGGTGAGCACACAGCAAAACCATGCTTAGAGTATATAGATTATATATACTCTAAGCATGGTTTTGCTGTGTACTCACTTATTTATATAATAAAAAATCAAGATAATATAACAAAATTATATGAAGCTTCATAAAGCAATATATTACAAGATTATTTAATAGTTATCTGCTAACTTTAGCTAATCAAAATTATTAACCTTTAATTTTTTATTATATAATATGTTTTACTATTATTTAATCTTGAATAGCCTTATATGATAAATACAATATTAATTATATACATCTTATATACATTGCAGTATATTAGTAAATTATGCTAAAGATACTTGTTTTTAGTATTTTATTGATCTTTTATCTAGATTTATAATTTCAGTATTTCTCATTATTTTTTTAGATTTTTATATAATAGATTGATTTTTATTGATTATAAAGACCAAAATTAAAAACATTATTGATATTATTAATAAACAATAAAAAAAGAATGATGCTTATATAAAGTGAACTAAAAACTATAGAATTAAATATTTTAATAATATCAAGATATAGAATTTAGATTTGGTATAAGCTAAAGAAGATTTTTCAACTGATGTTTAAATGAATTTTACCATATTTTTATAGTTTAAGTAATCATAATACTGTATTTAATTTTAAAAAATTTTATTTTTAAGATAATAAAATATTAAATATAATTAAATTAATAACCAAAATCTGCTTATAAATTTGTTATTATATTGATTAAATAATATAATTTTTTATAGATTTTTAAAAATTAATCCTTCACTATTAGGAATATTAAAAGATCCTGCAAAATTAGGTCTAATAATATTTTTACTTTCAGTCATAATTTTATATTTTTTAATTAATAAATACATTGCAATCTTAATTAGATGCAATGCAAAAAATCTGCCAGGACCTAGGATCAAAATGTATAAAATTAGAGTAATTAACAATTAATATTCTTGATTATAAATATATTAATATATATACAATATGTAAACTAACATGCATGTCTTCCTAAACCAAATGGAATATATTCTCTTCCGGTTTTGGTAGCTTGAGTGTTTTTTTCAATATGTTGAAAACTATCAAATGTATTTGTATTTTGATCAGTGCCATGAATTTCAGCAAAATACAAATAAACATTTCTGCCTATATAATTATAAATTATAAAATTTATTATAGAATAATATTGCAATTATTAAATTCAAATCAAATTTCAATTTAAATTATATACTATATATGTATATATTACCTTTTGGGATTTGATAACCATTTGAAAATGTAAAAGAGTCATTAAGAGTTTTATGTTCTATTCCAACTATAGTATAATGATAAAATAACATAATAGTATAATGGTATAAGTTGCAATAAAATTTATTAAAAGAAATGATTAACAACAGAATAATAGTATTAAAAGAATTTTACCAATTGGTTGCCAAATTCTTAAAGTTTCTCTTATAAAGCTATCTAATTTAATCATTTTTTTTACATCTTGACGAGTCAAATATCCATCTTCAATTTCGCATGAAATTCTTTCATTTTCTTCAAGCAATTCTTTCCAAAATTCAGGACGGGCACCATACTCTGTAAAAAAAAAATAATATTATAGACTATTAGGATCTTTTAAATTTTATAAATTTATTAAAGAACAACTTACCATAAAGAACATTTGTAATAGTTTGTGAAGTTGTGTGTATAGCAGCAAATATAATATCAATGATATAATCAGTTACTTTTTCTATATCTACTAACCCATCCTTTTCTGACAAATTAATAAATGATTGTAAAATATCTGCCTATTAAAGTATTCAAAATAAAATATATGAAAGATATTATGCTGTAAATTAATATATTTATTTTAATCATAGAAATTAATTTTACATACCGGAGGTTTAAATTCTCTTTTTTTATGCTCATATTGTTTGATAACTTGTATAATTCTGCTTCTTATCACTTGTCTGTGTTTTTTATAAAGATGACTAGTATGTTTTAGGCGAAATCTAAATAAAAATAAATGATCAAAATACTGACATTAAAATATAAACTTAGTTTAGTTAATAATAATAAGAAATGTAATGAAATTCATACGCAAAAAATTTAGCATGAAGGGAAGGATGAATAAAATTTAAGACCGGAGGCAATGAAATTGCTGGAATAATGTCTCTTGTTAAATTAGCAAAGGTATTGATGAGTTCTTCATCATTTGATAAATCCTGTGCATACAATATCAGATTACATTAGTTAAAACTTAACTGAATATAACTTAATTGAGCAATATAGTCAAAATTTTAATATTCTTACTTCACCAATAATAACACTGACTGCAGGTATTGCCACTATTTGCAGAAGAAATTGTTGTGGAGACTTAATACATTTCTGATCTATAAAAAAAAAAATAGATAAGTAAAATGGACGACTTTAATAGAGAAAAACTTTCTTACCTTTGCATTCACCAATAAACCTGTTTATTGCTTTTTTTAATGCATCCTGAATTCTATTTGTATATTGCTCCAGATCATTAGATAATTCATCACGAACAACCTTTGAAATTTGATCAAAGAAAGCATGTGGTTGTCCTAGTAACAGATCAAGTGGGAGAGTCTGAAAAGTTATAAGTTAATAAATCAAATATTAAACAATACAGAAGGAACAAAAACATTAAAATAATTAAAATAGAATCATTATGATATTAACATCGAAGACAGCTTCTAAGAAATTAAAGCTTTGATGATTGCTAATAACTTCAAGGCTAGGTTCTTTGCCAACTATGGTTATTATTTTTCCAAAGACGTAAAGGGAAAATATTTCCCCATACTGGTAAGAATTTGAGTTAAGATGTTATTTGACTGATTTAAATTCAGCGGAATATAGGACGCAC